CTTCTGGTAGAAAAGTTGCACACAAACTAAAAAAAAATAAACATCTTTGTAAAACTATAAGCTTCCTCGCTCCATTCAGAATGTAAAAGGAAGGGTACAATTATTTATTTTATTTATTTTCTAATCAGTTGTAAAAATTAAAAATTAAATTTATACATTTAATAATATCACATATATATTATCTCGTCATGTCTTTTCTATGCTCTATATATTTTTTTATTTTACCTATGAAGCACGACTTAGGTTTTATTCTTCTATTCGACTTTGGTCACCTGCAGTCATAGTTCACAATCGTTCAGAGGTGCGTTGAATCGATTTAAAATAAATTAGAAGTAGGATTTAATATATTTTTTTTTCAGATTCAGAGCGTAGCGAGAAATATATTGTTTTTACAATGATATTAATTTTTTTTTTTTTATACTGTAACTTTTTCTACCAGAAATCTTGTTCCGATATATCAAGTGGTATACGCTTTTTTGAAAGGAAATTTTAACTTGTGAGTATTTGAGTATTTTAGAAAGGTTATTATTTCGATTTTCCATTTTATTGTCACTCTATCTAGGTAGTCTACTTAATAGTAATTTCTATACAATGATTGTGAAAAGATCAAAAAAGAAGTCATCGATCATATTTTAGTCAATCAATTATCAAGCGTTTGCAGTGTACCTATAATATGTACTGTAGTAGAATATGAAAAGTGTGCAACAGTCAGTATTTGTAGAAAATAATAATATAATGCTGCTGTATAAAATATATCGCTATTTATATATTAAGTGCATTTGAATGGAACAGGTGTATTATATTGTTATAGAGTAGATATAATATGGCAGTGTATAAAAATTACTATGGTACAGAAAAGGAGAGATTACTTCGTCATCGCGTTCCCTTGACAAGGTATATTAACGTACGTACCGGCACTATAGGCAATAGACATAAATTATTATATTAGACAACTGGAGTGTTTACCTGCAGTATATAATAATACGATATCATATCACATATTGTATCGGGTGTACACCGCTCCGGTGTGCCAAGACATTTGGTATGATATAACACGATTACGGTATGTGTGTTTACTTGGGAGCCATCGCGGTATCATAACGACTTAATAATATTGGACCCCTGTCGCGGGATACCTGGACTTTTTTTTTTTTTTTTATATTATAATAATTACAATATGATTGTTTCAACACGACTCAGCATGTTTTCCACGAGCGCGTTTCCAAAACAAGACACACGCAACACGGCAGGACCGACGAATAAAAAAATACCACTACGACGCTGCTGCGCAGACAGTAAGCTCGGATTGATTAATTGATTCGTTATAATATTTTATTTTATGCTGTGTGTACACGGCGACGGTAATTATTAACTACACGATCGCGAGATAAAAATTATTATATTATATTTATTATTAATTTTAATTTTAATATTTCTATAATATTATAATCTAAAACCAACGGAAGGTAATTTTCAAACCGATGTATATACCTACCAAATACCGGGTGATTATTTTATCGTTAAACATTCATTATTTCGAAAAGTATTGACTATTTTTGAAAACTTAAAAAACTGTTTTTGAAATGTTGCATTTTATTTTTATTTTTTTTTTTTTTTTGTTATCCTTATTTTTGGGAGTGAAAGATTTCATCCCTAATTTTGATTTTATAGGAATTAAAATAGATGGAGTATTAGTTAAACATTTTAATTTCTGTCATTCCATTGACGAGATATTCCACTTTTAAGTTTATATCGGAGGTGTTGCAAGTAAGTGGTGTATTATTAAAATTCCACGAGCTATGCTGTAACACAAATAATACTGCACTACTCTTCCCCGACCCAAACTTAAAAGTGAAATATCTCATCAACGGATTGACGGAAATTAAAAATGTCAACAACAAAATTTATCTTAACTAATATTCCATCTATTTATGGGATGTTCGACCTAAGTTTTTATTTCAAAATCAAAATTAGTTAATCGTTTTACCTCCAAAAATTAGGGCGACATAAAGTAATATTTAAAATGTCAAATTGTAGAGCTACTTGTTTCTTAAATTTCTTATAAAACAGATTCCGAAAATAAGTTAATACTCTTTGATAAAATGAGTGTTTATTGATAAAAGAATCATCCGATATATTGAGTATTTAATGCGTGTACGATTCGGCAGTGCAATGACTACACGCATTTAACATAGTAGTCAACATTTGTCTTCTTTTATTGGAGCCTTAGTTAGCGAAATGAGGAACTAAACGGTTTTACTGTGATGTGGTTTTTTTTTTTTTTGTATGTATATAAAAAAAAAAATGTATAAACATTTTTCTTCTAATTTTTGATCTGTAGTTGGTGCATTAATAATAACATCTTTTGTTTTTCCTTGTAAATTCCGTAATAAATCGGTAAATTGACAATATTGTTTGTATATTTTTTGTTGATTTATGGATTACCTTGGCAACAAGAGAAAAAATATGACTAATAATATTCTGATCAGAATCGTTTTTCAACGAATTATTCTATATGTCTTTCCTTCTAACTTTTAATTTATTTTACACAACAATTAAAATAACAAATTGCATTCTCGTAATAATAATATACATGATACATGTACTTATTATAAATATTAATTTATTTATTGAAAACTAAAATTTGTTTGCGCCACTGGCCACACACAATGTCCCACTCGCATAATCTATTTCTATTCGTTTACATTAAAATTTTAAACTTCTATTGTGTATAAATTCTGTACTTGTGGCCTTTTCTGAGAGACGCTGTTGGTCTAAACCAATTTTGACAAGCCTTAGCTACAGCATTTTTGTATATGATAGAGGTCCAAATAGTATGAAATTTAACAGCCCCATACACTAACAGGCCGAATTGTGTTGATTAACCCATGCAATATTTTTAATACTATTAATAATAAAATATAGCCATATATACTTGTAATGATATAGAATATAAGGAAGACTTGACTGATAGAAACTACAACTGTGATAAAAATGATTCCGAAATATTATTCATATTATCACATGAATTTATCATATAATTATAACGGTATAAACAAATATTTCATGCGAGCTATTCAATACAATTTGTCCGCTTGGTAGTTGATTTACTGCTGCTATCGTGTATCCTGTATTATGCATCAAAATGCATACAATTATTGTGTCGGGTATCGAAATAATTTTTTTTTTTAGTACCTATCTTGCCCAACCCTACCTATAGTGGTTAATGGGTCTTTTCAGTAAGAAAGACTCCGAATCCCGCAGACGAGTAGTTCAGCTCCCGAATACGACGAGGGTGCAAGAGACGCGATATTATTATTTTTTTTTTTTTTTTATGTCTCCAAACTGGTTACGAAATATACCATTAACTGTATAGGCATTTATATACATATATGTGTATAATTTTTTATTGCGCGTTACCCCATGGGGTGTACAATTAATAAAAACGTATTATTATTGATATAATTTGACTATATACGCAAGCGGCCATCGTATTGTATGACTATCGCCTGTGTGTGGGAACCCGCGCCGACTTCTTTTGTCGCCCGCGCGATAATGCGCTTGCCCGCCCGTGAAATTCGTTCTCTGCAGCACATCACACAGCGTACAGCGGCGTGGACAAAAGGACCGAGGCGAAGGAGTGTCACATTTTTATTTTTATTGTGTATCATTTTTTTATTGACCGATAATATTCCCGAAAGTCTTTGGGCGGAATGGCTAAGAGAAGGCGACGTGGTATGAAGTAAACGACGACGTCATAGCAATAATAATAATAATAATGAGACGATGGACAAGATGAAAAGCGAATTATTATTTATGACCGTATCGTTGCACCTGCGGTGCGCTGTGGATCGAGAAGGAAGGCGAACTGAACGCGGTGAATGCGGCTAACACAGTAAATCAATTTTTTTTTTTAAATTTTATTGGCCGTTGACAATCCTGTGAAACACGGTTTTTCAATCAAAAGCGACCGTACTTAAATTTAATATTATATCCTATGCATGATCTGCAACGATAGCGTAGATACCAGAGAAGCGCACGAAGATATATAAATGTATACAGAGTGATTAATTTATTACGGAATTTCTTGAAAGATTATGAGTGAATTCGATTTCTGTTTTTGTTTTTCGATAATTATGGAACCGTTTAAGCTAAATTTAACACTATATTATTATCGATTTTTCACCTCTATTCCTTCTCAAATTACAAAAATAAAAAAGCGAAAATAATGATACTGTTATTACCTGTAAAATTTCTCGTTTTTCCCTGATTTACCACCACATCCTCGCTACGCTCAAAATATAAAATCAATTTAAATACGTTATATATTATGCAAATTATGTTGACATAATATTATAATGTAATATAATTTAAGAAAGTCAGGAAATCCAAAGACGAGTAATTGGAACAGCAGTGTGGCGAAATTGGTGAGCTGTTTAAAGTAAATTAAATAAATCATGCGTATCGCAAAATCCAACAATTTGTCGGAAAGAAAAAACAAAATTGCATATATATCAGAGATAAAAATGGCCAATTATTAGTTGTGATGAGAACATAATTAAACAATGAAGAGAGTATCCTAAAGAGCTCTATGATGGAGAAAAGTTGGAGGAATTGACAATTGATAAAGAAAAAAAAAACTACCTATTTTAAGATCAAAATTTGAACTAGCACTTCATGATTTGATACGAAATAAAGCTCCTGGGGCAAATAATATAAAAGCAGAATTATCACCGTGTACTAAAACAAAGATAAAGGCCACTTTATATCAACTAACTCGGGATTTACGCATATATGAGAATGGAGAGGTAGGTACCGATGAATATTGTAAAAGGCCTTCGACAAAGTTAATTAGAATAAAATACTTCTCATACCACGAGAAATAGGTGTTGAACAATATGACCTAAAACTCATGCACAGTTTTTACAAAAATCAGATAGTTTACATTAAAAAAGTAGGAATCACTGATAATGCTTAAATAAAAAAGGGAGTCCGACAATATGATAAGGGTGCACGTTATCAACCCACTTTTTAATAATTACATCAAAAAAGTTATAAATATAGTGAAAGAAAAACTAACAATACTAAATGTTGGAGTGAAAATTGGCGGAGAAACTATCTCAATGAGACGTTTTACTGATGATATTGTGGTGATGACAGAGAATGAAGGTGGCATACAACGTGCAGTTGATGAAATTAATGAAATGCTCAGATCAGAAATGAAAATAAATGGTGCAAAAACGAAGATCCTAGTCTGCGCTAGAGATCCGAAAATAAAAGCTAATGTATTTATAAACAGTCGAAAACTAGAGCAAGTAGAGAAGATGATACATCTAGGGAGCATGATCACATCTGATAGCAAAAGTATCCGAAACCTAAAAAACGTACATCATTAGCAACATTTACCTTGTAAAAACCATAAATTGTTTACTTCAAAAAGTTACATCTCAATATCAAAGCATGTGATTGTGAAACATGGGTTATTAATGATACTGAAAAGAAAAACTAGAAGTCTTCGAGATGCGGTGTTGGAGGCGTATGTAAAATATTAGTTGGATGGTGATAAAAGCAAACGAAGAGGTACTTAGAACTGTGGGAGAAAAACGTACGCGCATAGATGCGATTAGAAATATTATAATAATTTTAGTAAATCGTTCGAAAACGAATATGACGACTAGACGATGTCAAAATCATCGACCTACGATTTTACCGTACAATGTACTCAAACGACCACACATCATGAGTTCTGCGATGCACCGAATTGAATATTATAGTTAATTCAAACGTCACACGCGAGGCAGCGTATATTATTTTTAAGGTGCAGTCGGACACTTGTTGTAATATGGTACATGCACGGTTAGATGAATATATTATATGATATTAGACGTGCTTGTTTTTAATGGCGGTCTTATATAGTATACTTCACGTAATAATGTTATGAACTTGGCACGCCACTTAATCTTTACCAATAAGTCATAATAATATGTACATAAAAATGTAAATATGAATATAATATGCATATACCCGTATAAATCCGCTGAATTCAATTAAATTTTAAACCTACAAACATTTTTCACATTACCTTCTCTGTAACATATATTGCGAGTATAAGTGCGTAAGTGTTAATAAAATTATATTTTAAAACATTAACATGCATGTAAAAAAAAAAAAAAAAAAATAATACGAATTTACATAATTTAATATCTCTGTTATAGATATTTATATATTATATGTTTATGTGTTATTGGAATACACGATTATTCGTAGTTGCTAATTTTCTAAAATGTTGTGACATATTCAAGTCGAATTTCGAATAAAATATGTATACTTAAGCCATCCAAGGTTACCGGTTATAGGTTAGGTTAGATTATTAAGAAGTTATTCAAAACTGAAAGTCGATAAATTTGCTCTCATAGTATAAACGGTTACTGGCGTTATATCTCTTATTATGGGACTCTTGTATATAGCGGTTTAATGATACGTATACCTATATAGTTGCTACTTAAAAAGAAGTAGGCGTATGTTTAATGTAAATTATATTTTAAACGGTGCGCGTATATAATAGTGGGACAGTGGCGGCACAAATTTTTTTTTCTACGAAGCGGTTTCATTAAAATATTATAATAACCTCGAAGCGTCCCAACCCCAGAAAAATGGGGGTGCTGTAAATAAAGCTCCTAAAGTACTTGCACTTCACCTTTATTCGTCAGCTTATCTAACGATAAAGTTCCACGCTGGTGTGGTCATAAAGCTGCAGCTGCTTCATAGAATATCCATTCACACCACTACTGTTTACGGGGATATTCTGTCGATGTCATGTGGGTCGACTATAAATAAACAATAAAAGCAAAAAAACGAAAAACGCCGTATATTAAAATTATTATACGAAATAAATAATATACTCGCACACGCGTCGCCGTATATAGAGTAAAGGTGCCCCCACAGCTTACCGTAAAACGTGAAATATTCTAGGACTGTGATTGGTTAAACCATGTGCAGACGCGGATCCAAAGGGTGAGCCGGGTGGGCCCGGGCCCACCCGACATGTTCGACAACAGTTATTTTGATGTTTCGCGTTTTCGTTCAAATTACTGTTTACAATTATTCATTATAATATTTCGCATTTATTAAAAAAAAAAAACATTAATTTATCTATAGTAATCGTACACTGAGTCGCGAAACTACAGTATAGTACGACGTACCGTAACGTCCTATAATAAAATGTAATTTTTCCCTGTGATTAACATATTCGTACCAAAATATTGATGGTACAAACGCTGGTAAAATGTCGATGAGAAATAATTAGTGTAGTGGACCGGGCACCGCCGTTGACATATCCAAATTAATTGTTAATTGACACACGTGTGTATTATTATTGCGTCTGTTGTCAACTTCTGAAACCTTATGCACGTTTAATAATTTAAATTTGATTGGCAATAACGGAAAATGTAAAAAATGTAGGTATTAGTTGAAAATGCATCGGCCGTTTTTTTCCTGTGGACAACATTTTTACTAGCAATGTTGCTCCAACTTATAATGATAGCGGTTTTTCCAAAAGAATATTTCACTGGGGAGGTTCGTATTTGTTTTGAAAACATGCATTTCACTATTGAGGTACTTTAAATAGGACATTTTTCGATTTCATCAGGGGTTTTCTTAATAAATGCGAAAAACCGGAGGAAAACGGGAAAAACGTAAGAAAAACGGGTTCCGTCATTTTAAATTGTGAAATTTCGAAAAACTGGAATTACACCATAATATGACATATGCATTGTTTACAAAGCAGCACTATAAACCGAACTCCGCTCAGAAACGTCTTTTCGCCAGCAACGGGTTTGTCGTCGCCAAATGGAATACATTGAATTAGGACGTCTCTTCAGGGTTATAATATCCACGGGCCCGTCTGAAAAAATATTCTCGGATCCGCGTCCGACCGTGTGGTTAGTACGTAGTGTGGTTTGCCGGCGGTCAATTATCGTTTTTTTGATTTCAACACCTCGCCCGTACCGCCTACGCCAGCCGGACGGTCGGGTTCAACTTTCGCGTATTCGCCGCGGTTTAACGATAACGGTTCGACCATTTTGAATTGTATCGATCGCCGGCGAACAAATTGTAAATCATCACCGTTCACGATGGGCCGCGCACGACGGCGCGTTGACTCGCGCGTATCCACCATACGTGTATGTACGCGTGCGTGTATGTTAATTCGTCGGTCTACTGTATACTACACAACCCGTGACTATATGTACTTGTATATATATATTATATAATACATTTTTATACAGTGTGTGTGTGTGTGTTTTTTTTTCTCTCTCTGTTTCACTGGTAATATTTATGTACGCGCGTGCACATAATGCGCCATTATCGCACGTGTATTGTGTGCGCGAAAACGCCTTATTCGCTCCGACACCACCGCCGTCCCATTGTTTTTCATGCCGGCCGCGCCACGTCGACCTGTGCGCGATAATAATAACGCTGCGTGTATATTTGTTATCTTTTTTTTATCCAGCGCGGAGCCGCTCGATCGTCGCCCGTTGGCCGCGTAACGCCGTAATACCGTAATAGTAATACGCATTGCCGGCAGTGTTGTACTACGGGGGGGAAAAAAAAAAACAAAACGACCGTATCGACGGTACACCCAATACGGCTGTAATATAAAATATCGTACATACAAATTATTACTGTACGGCAACGGTGTCGGCAAATAGCGATTCTACATGCATGCATACATACATACATATTGTAATATCATATAGGCGCCTGTACAATATACCGCACTCGGGGACTCTGTTCGACGGATTCGGCCGCCCTTTAAATGTGTTTTCGGCCCGCGGACAATTGAAACGTATAATTGCGAGCCGCTGTCGTTAAAACGAAAAACGTAATCGGACAACGGCCTGCCGCTCCGGCAGGCTGATGTGTGAGATGTAAGAGACACGGGTCACCGACCCGCAAAGGCACCACAAAGTTAACATTTTGTGACCAAAATCGTTTCGCGATTCGTAACGGTCCGCAACCGCAAATTTGGAATTTATAACGCAAGTATAACCGGCCAAAATCAAGTTTCACTTCGCGGGTGCCGGGGTCAGTTGACTACAGCACCAGAAACTTAAATTTTATAACAATTAAAAAATTATTTTTTTGATTATTATTATTATTATTTATTTTTTTTTTTTCGTATTTTAAGTAAGTATTTTAGATTTTCAGCGCTGTGTTTCACGTTTTCGTGCTAAATATTGCTATCATACGTACAATACGTATAATGATTTATATTGTATTTTTCGTAAATCTCGTTTACGTTAATTGAAAGATTGTAGAAAAAATATGTCGTTTATGTGAATCCATATAAGAAAATTACATACATTTTTGTTTCATATTACAATCTATTTTTTTAGCAACCCAACGTGTTGGCCCGGCAAACAGTATACATAAACAACTTCTTATTGGTTGTACTCGTATATTGTTTTTTCCTAGAATATTCCTGTCGCGTGTACCTACTTCAAGTTTTTTAAATTGTTAACAGAAGAAAAAATTAATAAATATATACATTTTCTTGCTATGGTTTATGTTTTTATGGCACATTATAGCGCTTATATGTTAAGGATTATTATTGTTAAATCATATTATAGCGTATATTTCAGTTATTTTTTGTGCTATAAAATCCGAGCCCTGATTATTACCATGGCTAAATAAACGGGCATGTCGGTGCACATCGAAAATGACGTGACGCGTAGTAAATCATAGCGCCCGCGATGAGTTATTTCATGAGAAAATTAAGTATGACCATATAGTTTAAATGTAATTAATTGTATGACGGAAAATATAGTATTTGTTTGAGTATTAAAATGTAAAACGAATACGATCGAGCGGAAAATTTGTCCAATTTTCAATACAGTTAATTCTTATCGAGTAGAAAGTTAGCGCATTTCTGTGTACAATTATACAATGCGCAGGTCCTATGTAGCAACTAGTGTAAATCGATTAAAACGTTTTCATTTTCAATTAACACATTTATTACGTTTGCAATTTGAATTCATTTGTCCGGTACAATAATTCATTTGTATATTATAAACATGCTATTGATTAGAATAACATGTTCACAATAGAAGTTCTAAATGCATATTGTTTTGTAACCTTGTTTTTCCTTTAAGGACCAATATAGGTCTGTCGTGTTAGAGTTTAGGAATATTTGCATAAAATGAATATCTAATTTTACTTACCCTATACCTACATTATAATAAATGCGGCCAATGTCAAATGCGGTTAAGAAATTATACTAATGTAATCTCATTTATCAAACAATTAATTTTTAGTTTTATTGTTTTAATAATAGGTACACCCTACGCGCATAATATTAATTAATTTAAATTGAACCGATCAAAAACGGAAAAATAAA